TCTTCCTCAGGGAGTGTTCCTGCCCTTCCCAGACCTTTGCCATGTCTTAAACATACACCTATATTTGACAATCAGTGCTAGAGGAAATCTAAACACTAGCCTAGATGGTGAGCTGAACTAAGATGGTTGCTCTCCAAAGGAGGTGTGTTTGGGAGTTGATCCATCAAGGTCAGGAAAGCACCTATTTTTCTTATTGACAAGGTTAAGAATGATGGCTTCAGATCCAATATGCCCATCTTAGAGTCTTGGTTCATTCACGACTTGCCAAGTTGTGTCCTTTCTCAGTTTCTTATCTGTAAAATGGGAAAGTCAATTTCATCATTACTCATTGAGTTCATTTGGGAATTATCTGAGTAAATACATGTCTCACATGCAGAATCAGACTTGACAGAGCCATCTTCATTGTCATTCTGTATACTTGGCTTAGGTTCCATTCATAGCTCTAGTTATGGTGAAAGGGGACCAGCAAAGAAGAGAAGGCCAATAATAGATCAGGTCATTTCTATAACTTCTACTTCTTTCCACTGAGGATTGAACCCAGTGTCTCACCCTTGAGACAGTGTTCTCCCACTAGAGCCATTCCTACAGCCCTTTTGTTTGTTTATTTGCTTATTTGTTTGTTTAAAATCTTATTAACTTTGCCTGGCTGACCTCAAACTCAAAATCTTCCTGCCTCCACCTTCCAAGTAGCTAGGATTATAGGAATATGCCACCATGCCTTGCTATATCTCTGTCTTCTCCCTCTGACTTTATATGATCTTCCCTCTGTACATGTCTATATGTAGATTTCCAGTTTTTGTAAGGCTACCACTTGTATTGGGCTAAGGCTAGCCCCCAAAACCTTACCCTTTTAAAGACTGCATCTCAAAATATATCCACATTCCCCAGGACTGAGGAATAGGACCTCAAAATACAACTAAGCCCATAACAATGATAAAGCAGCTATAACTCACTCAGAATTTCTATTACTCTAAAATAAGGCATGTACTTCAGCTAAGTCATAAGTGACAAATGAGCATTGAATTAATTATGATGCATCATAGCAGAGTTGGGAATCACTCTGTGAGTGGAAGAAATACATACAATCATTGCAATGTGAAGGGCAGTATCTAGTGAGGTCCTCAGTTCTTTAAGGAGTCGAGTGGGAGCCTTTGGAAGTGGTCCTTCTCATCACCCTGCAAACTACAGATGTTGGGGTGCTTTGGTGAGAGAAAGTTCTCATAGTCCTCCCTCATTCTTGTAGCCACCTGCCCAATTCCTTCTGGTCTCCCCACACCACAGCAATGTTAGTTGGTGTGCATAATGGTAAATGCTCAGACCATCTTCTAGTGACGCAAACTCCCCAAATTCTTGATTTAGAACCACGAGTCCTCAGGGACAGTTGACTCTTCACTGTCCACCTAAACCAGGGATCTCTTGACAACATAAGGCAATCTAATACACTTAAAATTACTACAGGGACAGATGTGGTAAAGAAATTTATCCACTAAATCTGACTAAAAGTAATCACAGATCCTCGTGTTGCTGGAATGAGTCACATTCTGAGCACCCTCCCAGACAGAGGAATCCAATGAATGTGAAACAGTGGCCTTTCATGGAACTATAAAACAACCAGTCCTCAATGATTCTTGTTTCCCATCTTTCCTTCAGCAACCTTTCTCAACCTCCTTAGTGCCTTTTGACCTTTTACTATCTCAACAGTGGTCCAATCCTTCCAAAATCCTTTTAGCTACTTCTCTCCCCAAGGAAAGCACACTGCTTCAAACGTTGAAGTTATTCTAGGTTCACCCAACATTTGCAATTAATTCCTCCGGTATCTCTAGATCATCTGGAATCTCTCAAATGATAGGAAACCCAGTGTCTTGGGAAGCAACTCATCTCAGTTTTGAAAGGTTTCTAATTTTTATACCATTCTTCTTTTTTGGAAGCATGATCTTTGTTCTATCTACGTTTGATGCATTGGTCCTTGTCAGCTCTCAATCAGTCATGTTCTCTATCAGTTGACCTCATCTTCTGTTTTACCACCAGTACACATCTGAAGACCTCAGATACAACCAGCCTGAGTCTTCTATGCCTTAGGTTAGGTACATCCAACGTCTCTAGCCATGGCTTGGTTACCTTTTTTTTCTTTTTGCCACCTTAATTTGGGCCTCACTTCTCTGAGTAGTTTCTAATACCTACTGGTAGATCAATGCTAAAAGTATGTGGAGCTCCTTCCTCACCTTTCATGGTTCAGATTGGATGCTGCTGTCTTTGCACAGCCTTCCTTGATACTACTCAAATGCCAGGCAGCTTCTTTCTTTGTGCCTTCATGTCACCTTATATGGTACTTTCTATAACAAATACCACAGTGATGTATATTTTCCTTTGCCTGCTACCCTGTGAATCTTCCTTTGCCTAGAGACTCTGTTTTAATCATTGCTAAAATCCTCCTTTCTGCCTCAGAATAGGAGACTCGTGTTTGTTGATTGCCGTGCTGATTAAAAAAGCCAAAATTAGAATTCATGGTGGGTCTGAAAGAGAAATATCTGTGTTCAGATATCTCCCTCTATTGAGGGAGACTTTGTTATATTTCTCAGGCTAAATCCTTTGGGAGAAATACTGGATGATGTTTATTTAAATTATCCAAGCCAGCCTAAGAGATTCGTGGGGGAAGAGAGGGTGTAGCATATGCTATACCTCCAAGACTTTCTGGATGCTTCTAGGTGTTCCAGCACAAATCATGGTTTGTAGTCCCAGTGTCAAATTATATCTGGTTTCTCCAAGCCCACACCCCAGTTAAGGGAGCTTAACACTCACTGTCTTTTCATTCTTATTGAAGGAATATTGATTATCAGGCATTCTTCTTTACTTTTCTAGGATGAAGGTTACAGGTCAGTTACCAAGGAATGAATCCTTCTCAGGAAGAACCAAATGTACCAAACCAAAACACATCTTCTCTCTCCCAAGACATATATTTTTCTAAAGGGAATTTTTGCCATCTTGCTGTGCCGTTTTTTTGCTTGTTAATATTATTTGGAGTTGATCTTGGATATGTTTTAAGCCCCTAATGCACTGCGGGGTAGGTCTCAGACCTTCCTAAGATAACACTTTCTCTCCCACCAATAAACAAGGACAAGAGAATTTGAACTTAGCTATTTATCTTTAGGACAAGTTTATTAAGATCTTCTTGCAATCAAAATCTGTTCTTCAAGATCTGAAAAGAGTTCTTTTTGTTCACTTTCTCAAACCTCTTCTCTATGGCAGCTTTTGTCTGCGTACTTATCACAGATGCTATGAAAGATTCTTCAGGGACAAAAGGAAAATCCTTAAAATTTGATCTTGCCATGATCTGTGGCCAGTTCTTACCAGCAACTGCCTTTTTATTTTATCATTCTTGACTCAGCTCAGTATTTGAAAGGTGGCCTAGTGGTTTATAACACCTTAAGACCTTCCAAAAACATGGCTTCTGAGACATACTCTGAGTTGGGCTTTTCTGCTCTTTTTAGGATCAGTTATGACAGTTGCTATTTAGCCCGAAGGTAGCTGCAGAATTGCCTTACATAGTATTTGTCATTTAGTATAGCCTAAAAGCAAATTCTCAGGAATAAATACATGCAATGAGAGAGTTTTCCTATCTTATGTGGGGGTGAGAGGCATAATAGAAGAGTCATCATTGATATCTGAGAGCTTATTTCTAGGCTTTTGAACCAGATAAAAGAGATTATTGTTCCACCTTTTTATCATGGATATATTCACAGGGGAGAAGTACTGAAACTTAAATAAAAGTTATGCTTTGATACTTTAAATAGGTTGCCTTAAAGGTAAAATGATGTTTTTTGAAATTTGAACCTATTGTTTTTTATCTAGAGTTGACACCATTATTCAGGGACGATAACTTCATTGCAAGGATAGTTAGGTCTGCCTGGGACAGTGTCTTAATTATACATGATCAATATTGTAGAATCAACATTGGTTTCCCCCAAAACTGAGCCCATACCACTATTAGAGAGAGAATCATGGATAGTGAATATGACCCAAGATACAGGGAGGTATGTATTATGCTGCAGGTGTGTTAGATCTGCCTGATTTTATAGTAATTCTTGCGGTTGTCCACAAGGCTCTGCCAGCTCACTGGAGGGGAGGCTTCTAAGAACCATTTTCTTTTCTACCTGCAAACAAGGCAAGAGGGGGATGAATGTAGCACTGAGAATTCAAGACAAGTTTATTAAGGTGCCTCTGAGCTTGAGGCTCTCATCCAAGGAATGTTGCATTGGGAAGTGAAGGTGGGGGAGGGAGAGGGGGGACCATCATTGGATGGTTAGTGCAAACACAGTTGTCAAGGCGAGGAGCGAGGGTGTTGTTTAGTATTGAAATCATGTATTCCAGATGTGGGCATTTGGTAGTCAATCTGTTCTGAAGTGACATGCTGCTGAATCTTTAAAGGGCTTCAGCCAGGGAGAGCAAAATCTGATTGGGCAAATTGCTAAAATATTTAAAGTGCAGCCTGTTAAAGCTTTTACTGCGAAGAGCATCACGTCAGAAGTTGTAGTCAGAAAGAACGAGTAATTGGCTTTCCATCCTGATGCCAGTCAGCCAGCATGAGGCTCTATTCCTATTCCTTCCTCTTCATTGCTGATGCTAATAGCAACCCTTTGGGGTATGTGTGGGGTGTGTGTGTGCTAGGGAAATTGGATAGCTGGTAAAATGACAGAACACAGAGTGTGATAGCTGTAAAAAGGAAAGCTGAACCCACAAAATGGCATGAAGTCCATTTCAGAAAAAGGGAGGAAGAGAAAGGCAGAATTATTACCTGGCAAAGGTCAAGTGCACTTTCAAATGGGTGGCAGTGGCTTGGGGCAGTTGTCTTTCAAGGGGTGGGTTCTGCAAGCCAGAGATGGCCATCACTGACAACCCTTCCTCTGCATCTTTCATCTTCTCTGAGATGTATCTCAGGAGGCACTTTCCATTTATAATTTATCACATTTTCCACTTATGTTTGCCTGTCCTTTTCTCCCCAGGCATGACCCCTTGTTAATTCCTGGCAATGATCAGATTGACAACATGGATTCTAACGTGAAGAAGTATGATTCTACTGGGATGTTTCACTGGTGTGCACCCAAGGAGATCGAGAAAGTCATCCTGGTGAGTGAAGGACTGCAGAACTAATGTCATCCACTTCTGCCCAGCACGACATTTACTAAGAGTGAGGTTTGCCTGATCGAATAGTAGAGAATATAGTCCCCAGCCCTAATTATTTTTGATGATTGAAATTCTGAACAGAGATTGAAGCAGCTATAACTCTGATCAGAACATGAGCCACGAGCAGAATTTTCAACCTCTGAATATTTATCAGCTCATTTGCAACAGTGGTGATCAGGTGCTGTGGGTAAGGCATCGTGGAAGACAGACTATGTGTCATCTCTTTTCACCTGGCTCTGAGGGCAGTGCCTACCTGTGCTATCTAGTAGCTACATGATCTTAGGCAAGTGTCTTGACTCTGCAGTTCAACTCTTCAATGTGTAAGAAGATGAGATAGGAAGGACTCTAACTCATAGAATTATAGTGAAATTAAAACCCAAAATATAACTCCATAGAATTGCCTGTTATTTTACCTATTGCTATTGTTATCACTATTATTCTTAAACATCTTGAAGAAATCTGAATGCTGCCTGTATTGTTACTTGTTTATGTTTTTTAATCCTTATAGATAATAGTATTGTGTATTTGTGATCCTTCTTAGCACACAGTGTAGACAGATGAGTACCATTGGCTGTCGATGACACTGCATAACTGTGGCCCACCGTTGGGAGGATGGCACTCTGAGCCTTATTTCATGGGTGGCCCATGAAACATCTCCACAGCAGCAGTGGATTTCTTCTGTTCCAAGAATGTCAGCTTAGATAACAATCCATTCTACTCTCTGTGTTTGCCCTATTAACAGATTTAGGTTTTAATGCTTATATCGGTTTTCCCAAGTTTATTGTCTTGCTAATCCATGAAAAATAGATTAATAATCAGGACATTCAGACAGAAGGGCTCTTTCTCCCTTGTGCCTCTAAGCCTCAGATTGCTGTGGGCCTGCTTCTTTGTCAGCCAGGAAAATCCTATCATTTCTGATAGGGTCACCCTTCCCCAATAAGGAATTTTCCAGGTCCTCAGAATGGCCTTGTACTCTGATCCAGTAGATTTTTCACTGTGTTTTGTCTAGTGTGTGTTTTCTGTACTTAATTATAAACGAGCATTGCAAACTGGCAGAGCATCATGCTGGAGGCTGTCTTAGAGGTGTGAATATTTCAGACAAAAGCACAAGAAGTCAAAATTCTTAGCCAACAGCCATTGTGTAACTTACCAGGAGTAAAAAAGTTGCTCTGTGCATTTGTTCTCTGATGTTGCCCCTTCCCCACCTTACTGGTTTAAACTTAACCTCATGTTACTAACCTGAGACAGGTAATAGACTAGGTACTAGATCTGGGATCCAGGGTTTTAATATCTTGCCTAGATATTCCTGGGAGTGCATGCTAACTGAAATCCTAACAGCATCCCCACTTGGGAAGAAAGAATTGAGGGAGATAAGTTCATCTGAAAATGACATCACTTAAGAAAATGTTTGTAACAAGCTTACTATGTATTAGGCACTGTTCTTGTTCCGGAGGCCTAATACACAGAGCTTGTATTCTTGTGGGGCAAAGAGAAGACCTCCATGTAGGCAAATGAGTACAGGAGAATAGTTCAGATATTACTAAAGTGCTATTAAGAAAGAAGAAAAGAAAGCAGATCTTGGGTTAGGAAGGGACTGGATGGTGCTGTTTAGGCATTGTGATCCAAGAAGACCCATCTACAGTAACACTGGAGTAGGTAAGAATGACAGGAAGGGCCAGCTGTGTGAAGATAATTTAGATTGTATTTACTCACTCTATTCAGGACACTAATGACTTTGGGTATTAGTATATAAAGGAGATGGTTTAAGTCTTGAGGAAATGATCATTTAATTGGAGAGAAGATATAACATGAGGTAAGTGATATGAGGCACAAAGTGCTATTCAAATCTCAGTGAGAAATGCTAGTATGTGTTTAAGTGGCCAAGGAAGTCCCATCAAATACAAACAGGTTGTGATTGCTAACAGGTTGTGGTTGGAATGCTTTTAAGGCCACGAAGGTCCAACTTGGGCTAGGCCATGAAGGTTGTGTAGTGAACATGAAATGAACAGAGAAGCACATAAATGGTTTCTCTAGTGGGTCTTAAACCTGGCAGAATCACTCTCCGGGACCAAGAAGTAGTAATGTGAATTTTTACAGAGTTCTCCAGGTGATGTTGCCATGGCACCTTTGAGAACTAATATTTTTATCCCAGATCTAAACTCTTAGGGCCAACATCTGTGCCTGGGCCACTGTCCTAACTGGTGCCTATTCCACATCTGCATACTAGATTCCCAGCTTCTATCCTGGACCCATCTGTATCCCTCTGGCTTATTGAAGAGAGCTAGCCTTCCAGGTGATCAGGCCAATTAAAAGTAATTAGGAGCCCCATCATAGCACATCACAGACTGGTTGACTCTCTGCCTGTGGTGCCAGATACCGGCACTTCCATGGAGCCTTTATCACTAACTCCAAGTCTTCTCCATGAAGCAAAGATGGGTGATGAGCTCCCCAGATGGTCTTCCTTGGTCACAATTTATAGGCATTTCTTACAGCCTGTGTCTCAGATTTCCCTGCACTGTTGCAGAGGGAAACCCATAATGGTGACAGCTCCTGCTTTATTCTAACGATCAGGGAATGAAAGCTAGCTTCCTCCTCTCCTTAGAGGTTACTATAATAACCCTGACATTGTCATGAATTGCAATATTGGCATTTAAACAATCAATACACTAGTCAATGCTAGGGATTAAATCAAGCAGAGTTTGATATGTGCAGTGGACATTAATATGCCTCCCCCAAAGCATTGCAAGCCACATGGGACCATCCAGGCATGCAGTGGGTGGACAGGGAGGAAGTCAAGCAATATGGGAGGTATTGAGCTAGAAGGAGCACAGAGAAAGGCTCATAACTGGCCTCGTATTCATAAACACGGCAAACAAAAAGGTTGCCATTTGCTAACATTTGCATTTCCTGGTAAGCTGGGGTTCTCCTCTACTTGAGGGTTTTCCTTAATTTGTGTCCTTCATGGAAATAGGCCAGGGAAGACTGGCCTTTTGGGCTTACTGATCTGTCTTTAGGCCCTTTGGATGATTATTTGGGGGTTCTTTCTTATATAAGATGATTCCCATCCAGGAATGACCTTGGAAGGGTCAAGACAGCATTGGACAGGGGTCAGCATCCTTTTTCTGTAAAACTTTATATATAATGAATGATTTAGTCTTAAAGGCCATATGATCTCTGATACCACTGATTAACTCTGCCATTGAAGCGACCATAGAAAATACTTAAATGTATGAGCTTGGCTGAGTTTACAGGAGTTTGAATTTCATATTATCCTCACATATGATGACATATTCTGGATTTGATCTTTTCTACCATTTTGAAGTACAAAAAGACATTTTTAGCTTAGTGGATATGCAAAAGCATGTGGTTTATCAGGCCAAATCTGAACGCCACAGTGGCCAGCCAGGGCTTTGGGTATCATGCCCACCGATGTAGTCATTTACTATATACCTTACAATAAATCTAAAACTAAAAACTTAGATTTCTTAAGCTGGAACCGACAAAAGGAACTGACCATTTTATCAACATCTTAGCAAAAGGGCCTGAAAATTCATCTATTTTATCAATAATTTCATGGAAACGAAGAGTTCCTTTTCCAAATGACATAAATATTCATCTTCCCTCTTTTTCCCCCCCAAATATCATTATGGTATAATCTCCTGCTCACATATATGTATGGCATATCTTAAATTCATTGTCCAAGAAGGTAATGGTATGGTACATATAAACATAATGTTCATATATATGTAACATACTTGTTACACAAATACAAGATATACACACATACTCAAATTATAAATACATACGGCCTGTATATAACACCGATAAAAATTTTTGTTTCATTAGGCAGTTTTGTGGCACTACAATGAAATAGCTGAGGCCGCTAACTTATAAAGAGAAAAGGTTAGCTCATAGCTTTAGAGGTTCAAAGTCCAAGATTAGGCAGCTCCATTTGTTTGGGCAGTGGGTGGTACCATATTTTGGCAGGAGTTTGTAGAAGCAAACAATCACATTTGGAACAAAAGCAGAGAGAAAAAGAACGTGAAGGTCAAGGCTGATCCTCTTGGGGGAACTCAAGAGGTCACGCATGAATGACTTCACACCTCCAGTGACCTAAGTATCTCCCACTGGGCCCCAACAGCTAAAAATTCCACTGCAGAACAGTGCATCCTGGGTAGTAAACCTTTAATCAGAATAACCCTTAACGGTCCCTTGGACAACCCCTAAACCATAGCAATATCACATTAAGTACTTAGCTAGTGTTTACTTGATTATTTGCACAAATGATGTTTTTTCTCCTTGCAACAGCGCTGAGTTCTCCTCTCCAATACTCCTGCATCTCTCCCTATTGCAGACTCGAAGCGAAGCAGCCATGACCGTCTTGAGTGGCCACGTTGTGGTCTGCATCTTTGGGGATGTCAGTTCAGCCCTGATTGGCCTCCGGAACCTGGTGATGCCACTCCGTGCCAGCAACTTCCACTACCACGAGCTCAAGCACATTGTGTTCGTGGGCTCCATTGAGTACCTCAAACGGGAATGGGAAACTCTTCACAACTTCCCCAAGGTGTCCATATTGCCTGTAAGTCCAAGGTCACATTATTGATGCTTTTCCTCTTGTTCTTTTCATTCACAAAAGAAAATCCCAGATGGATGGAATCGCCAAAGCTTTGATCACGTCTGTTTCTTCATCTGGGTATGGGCCTGAGGATGCAGCCCTTCCCCTATGCTCTGTCTAGGAAAATCCAAACCCTTGGAGACCTTATTAAAAGGCATTTGCAGCCAAGTGCAGTCTCATTGGGGACAAAGTTGAGCTGGTATCACATGTATTAACCATATCAGCATCCTTATTCTCTCTCTCTCTCCCTTTCTCTCTCTCTCTCTCCTACCCAAAATTTAGTATTGCAATATCATGATGCTTACACTAAGAATTTACTTATAGGACTCCTGATGGTATTTTACTTATGACAATAATACTTAAAGGAACCTTAATCTATACCACCTTCTGTTTTTTCTAAATAAATGTAAATAACAGGTTTTTAAAAAAAATTCTCCTGTACACAAGGCCAACCCCTTCTGTGGGCCCATCCACCATTTATTTAGAAGCCCAGCAATGTTTTCATGGTTGTGTGTGTGTATGTCTGTCTATCTCTGTGTACACATGCATGCACATGTATGCCTGTGATATTCTTGATTACAAAATGATAGGACCTCAATCTGTAAGGAACAATTTGGTGCCTGAAAATTTAGTGTGAGGGTATAGGATACATGACTTAAGAGTCGGGTAACTACTGCCTAATCATAATCAATGTATTATCCATGTACTTTCAAACAGTGATAGAGTATTGTGCTTTGCAACATTTGTCACAGATTCATGCAATTATTACTTATTACACAAACATTTTTCATTTAAGTTCATATCCCTAAAATAGAGATTGTGTATTTCTCTACCTATCAAGAGGTCTGTGTTTTCCTCTACTCATGAAGCAAAAGCCATTATTTCTATTTGAAAATCATAGAAATGGAAAAAGAGAAACCAAATAATTTTATTCAATTAAAATTATTATCCACAGCAGTACAAATAAATAGCTACCATTTGTCTTTCTTACTGCCTAGCACAATAGATTCTCACATTTAGGTATTCATTCTTTGGGATGTACAGCCAAAAAACAAATGCCTTAGTGAACACATGTAGTTAATGATAGTCACTTACAGACAAATGAAAAATATCAGATAGTTGGATTAGCCCCAACATATGCTGTGTTTACTTTGCTAATTTCAGAAATATAATAGATTTGATTTTATATTTTTATGATTATTTTCCTGTATTTGCTATACCACAAAGTTCCTTGATCTCTAAAATTACCTTTGTAAAAAGTTAATTATTTGTTGAGACATGAGTCTATGTGAGTGTGTAGAGGGTGGGTGTGTGACATTTGGTATTTGTGTGGGCATGTTGTGTGTGTGTGTTTCCTTCTGTGTGCCCCTGTACACATTCACCCACCTGCCTCCAAAGATGTAAATGAGCTCTCATTGCTTTAGATCCTTTACAAACCCTCCAAAACTTAGCATTCTCAAGCACAACAGACTTGCACAAAATGGGCCTTGGCTATGTCTTCACATACCTACACAGTACCCTACACATACGGCCAGCTCAGAGAAACACAATGCGTTTGAAATTGTGTGTCTCCAGCTGTACAGGGTTTGTCTTATATCACAATTATAGCTAGATTCCTTATAAAGTGAAAATTAAAAGAATATGGATGGAGGCAATTGAAGCACTGGCAATAGGATGCAGGGAGTTGGTCAGAGTTACTTTGTATCAACACATCTTAGCAAAGATATTTTTTTTCTCTTTCTCCCAAGAGGTACTGCTCCAGAACCCCGAGCCAGTACCTTCTCAGCACCCACAGCGCTAGATGCCTTTCCTTCATGGTTCCACTTTGAAGCAATATTTGGGAAATTTTAGGGTAAAATCATGACTGCCACTGAGTCATAAAGGGTGATATATATATATATATAGATATAGATATAGATATATATCATATATATGTATATATATAGATATATATAGATATCTATATGTATATATATGTACATATATATCCTCAGCCAGATCCGACCTTTTCAGTCACTTTTCCAGGAAGTAACATCCAGAAAATACAGTCAGCAGTTAGCAAGCCCTTTCCCTTCACAGGGTGTGAGTTGAAGGCAGCTGGGGTCTGTACACAGGCCTGGAGAAGTTAAGTTTAGGCTGAGGACTAAGGAGGCTAGTGCTGGATGAGAACCACCAAATGATGCTATGTGGCAGTGGGCAAGTCTGACATGGGATGGATCTGTTAGTTTTGCTGGTACCCCTCCTGAGGATACAGAGCACGTGAGGACCACGACCTTATCCTTCCATTATACCTACAGTTGCAGTCCCAGATGCTGTCATTACCCCTGGATCTGAGTTTTTCCCACTGTTTTATGTTGTTATTGGGTTGTTTAAAAAATCTGTTTACTGGCTTATATATTTTTAATTACACTAGTAATATACAAATATGTTCTTGTTATAAAATATTCAAACAATATATAAGTATATAAAGTCAGAAGCAAACTTTCCCCTTTATCCCCTCCATCCTTTTCCCCTCCCCAGAGGTAATTACCATTATTAGTTTAGTGTGTATTTTTCTTGAGTTTTTCTCTTTGAAATTACATATATTTATAAATACGTTTATAAATATATAATTTTACTTTGATTTTTACATAAGCGAAGCTATACTCTTCAAGTTATGCTAGAACTTTCTTTTTTTCACTTACTTCTCTGTTTTACAGATTTTTCCAAGTCAATGAGAGCTAACTCTGTTTACCTGCTTTATACTCTTCCATTATATTCACGACCAATAGTATTTAACCATTTCTATGTTGTTGGGTAATTATATGACTACCTTGTCTTTATTTCTTACTGAAAATAAGCAATAGCATTGTATAACCAGAAGCTTACTCCTTACACCCCTTTGCAGGACATACACTAATTCCACTCACTCCCACAACCTCCAAATTGGGGCTCTCTGAGCCCCACCTCATTACACCCTGCTCCCTGATATCCCCTTGGCAGCACTGGGAATTCTAGTTGGCACTGCTGTGTTTTGCCTGAGACAGAAGTAACCTGCTATTAGATAAACAGGCATTGGAAGCCCACCCCCTTGTTACATTCTGAAAGGCAGAGGTTGCCACAGGACAGTTACTTAAATCAAGACAATTTCCAGGCAAGAAGAAGATGTAGACCCTGGAATTATTCCTCTCCTGTTTGTTAGTAATAGCTTGATTGAGTATTGAGAGCCAGCCTGAAATGCTGCCATCAGCACTGACTACCCTTTAGATTAGCACGCAGCCCCTATTCCCTGAAATGTAGTTAGGCCAGCTTAATGTCAAGGCATAAAAAAGACACTTGTTAAATAATTTCCCAAAGCACCAGCTCCATTTTTAATTTGTTTTTATTTTTTTGCTCCTTCCCTCTTCTCCCTCTGACTCACTTTTGTTTCTCTCTCTGTCTCTCCCTCCCTTTTTTTCTTTCCTCTATGCCAAAGGGTACGCCATTAAGTCGGGCTGATTTAAGGGCTGTCAACATCAACCTCTGTGACATGTGCGTTATCCTGTCAGCCAATCAGAATAATATTGATGATACTTCGCTGCAGGACAAGGAATGCATCTTGGCGTCACTCAACATCAAATCTATGCAGTTTGATGACAGCATTGGGGTCTTGCAGGCTAATTCCCAAGGTAAGGACAGCCTGTAATACTTCTCTGCTGTGCCTATGGGGGACAGGGGCTGGCAAGAGGGATATCCTTCACTCAGTAATTCAAAGAGGCTCACATCAGCCTGCCTGCCAGTGAAACCGGTGGTGGCCATGATGGCTTTCAGAGGAGCATCTGCTCCTCTCCTTACCATCCCAGAATGCAAACCTAAGCCCTGGTCCATGCCTCTCTCCCACACACTAAGTTGCCTTCCCAGACAATAAACCAGTCTTTAAATGGTCACCCCCTCAGCCTCTCTAAACAGTGGCTTTATGGCCAGGGTCACAGGCTTAGTGTCAGAGCAGTGAAAAGATGCTGGATGCACAGTTCCCTGTGTTTCCTCCCAGTGTATGTTTTTGCCATTGAGCTGAGGATAGGAGTGTCAAGCTTTGCCATTGTTAGGGCTGTATATAAGGTTCTGCTGACCAAGGTATGGTGATCTCAGGAGAGTGGGGACTATACAGACATGAAAAGTCATTTAGCAAGAGGTGACACTTGTCAGCCCACGCATTTCCTATAGGAGACACAACTGCATTAAATGACACATAGCTGCCTTCTGCTCTGGCCCCAATCTTCCCTGTCATTTGCTTTGGGATCCTGGGCAGGTGGTTACCAGTAAAGATGTCATCTAGTCTCAGAGGCAGCACAGCAAAACAGCCATGACAAACGACCTCAGAAATCAGGATTTGGAAGGATAGGATGCAAAGCATTCCCTCTGAGTGACACCACTGTGTTGGCCTGCCATGAACTATAGAATGGTTGTCATATGTGGCCTACTAGAGGGGTGTCATTGGTTGCCTGACAGGGACCTGAATCCCATAATCCTGGAAGGAAAATAGGAGGAACGCACCCCATGAGAACTGTAGCTGCTGGAGTAGGAAGCACCTTATCAATGGCTACTGGGTAAAACTCCTCATTCAAGGCTTTTGGAAACTCAAGCAGATCATGCCACCCAGATCTGTGTGCTCCATTATCTTTTTACATCTCAGCATCACTGCCTCCTTCTCACATCCACTCAGAATTGCAGTGAAGCCAGGACCAGTAGTTCCTGGAAACCTCTTTTTTACAAATTCCCTCCCTTGCACTGGTTCTGGGTGAGGAGAGCTGGCTAGTGAAAGGAGAGCATGGGGTGAGATTGGGAAACTGGAGGTGAAAGAGAGGCCTTGTTCTTTGGATAGTTGCAGACAGACCCTGAGCAAGGTTCAAAGCAGTTCTTGGGGATTTCCTGAGATTCAATGGCTTTGATGCTGGGGACTGATTGAGAAGGTCAGGGTTCCTCTGAGGGTCTGAGATTCATAGCCTTTCTGGTCAAGCTAAGAAACTTGCAGTTTGGTGCTGCCTGTGAAATGGAGAGTGGTGGCCTCTTTGATTTTGACTTCTCCAGCCCTTCTAATGGGGTTGTATCAACCTCTAGTTTTCCTTGTACTTGAAATCATGTGGTTTCCATTCTTCTGACATTACCCTGGCTAACTGATTTTGACTTCTTCAATCAATCATCCTCCTACTATCTCCCAATCTAAATCTTAGTGTCCACTTGCTCAGCTTTGCAAGACAGCAACATACCATGGCCCTAAGAGAGGCTCTGAGCTCTGATGGTCTTCACATGGAGTAGGGAGAATGTGCTCCTGTATGGAAGCAAAACCAGGGAGAAAGGATGTGAGAATAGAGGAAGCTGACCTTCCAGGAGGTGACAGAGGAAAGCATTTGGTCCCTGCCTTTAAGCCCATGCTCTTCAGTGTGTCCTCCCCACTCTCACCCTAGCACAAGCATCACCTGGGGGAGATTGTTGGAGATCTATAGTCTCATGGACCACCCAGACCAACCTGTCAGATCTGCATTCTAACAAGATCCCCAGGTGACTTGGATGTGTTGGTCTAAGGCACAACAAATATCCAAACCCAGTGCAATGAACAGGTTAACCAACATGGTCAGAAGTGTCTCCATTCCTGGAGAGGGACCAGCAGTGGGGATGGAAAGAAGTGGACAGCAGTTCTCCCTTTGAGTAGAGATGGAAGAAGCAGGAGGGGCAGGAAAGCACCCCCTTTCCATAGTATTCCTGAATTCTCCTCGATTTTCAAGGTCCACAGATGAATATCTCAATATATAATTTAATTGCATATGCATCCAATATAGGTGCTCTTTCCTGCTCTCTTGAACCTTATCCTGCTTCTCAAGTCCAGTATAATGGCCAAACTGGCAAAAAAAAAAAAAACCACAAAATGCTTCCCCTTCCTTATGCTTATAAAGGCTTGCTTATTCTTTTTAGCACAGGAACAAGATAGGTTTTTGGCAAGAGATATTAAGGAAAGAGAAAAGAGAGGGCTCCTATTTCCTCAGAAAGAAAGCAAGGGCCTTCTTTCTTTTGTATGGGCATGTGCCTCAAAATTAATTGGTTCATTGAAATCCTAATCCTCAATGTGACGGTATTAGGAGGAAGGGAAGGTTGGGAGGTGGTTAGGTCACAAGGATGGAGCCCTCATGAATAGAATTAGAGCACTTATAAAAGAGGCCCAAGAGATCCTCTGCCATGTGAGAACAAAACCAAAAGATACCATTTATGAACCAGAAAGCGGGCTCTCACCAGTCACCACATCGCTGGTGCCTTGGTCTTGGCCTTCTCAGCTTCCGGAACCATGAGAAGTAAATTTCTGGACTAAGAAACACACACAGCCAAAGAAGGCAGAGGGTTGGGTACCCATGCCTAGTAGCAGTTCTTCTGGTCTCTTGGTCAGCAGAGGAGTGGAGTGTATGTTCCCCAGGAGCTGGCAGTCTGATCTGCTCTTAATGACAGAATGCTGAAGCTGTCAGCAGCCAAGCCCATAATTCCCCTTGCTTTCTCACCGAGTCTGTTCCTAGGATGTCCTTGGTTTCTACACCGTCCTCTGGTGACACTCTGACCTTCCAAAGGCAGTGGGTTCTGTGATGGCCATCAACACTGAGAAGTCAACACCTCAACAGTGCTCATGTCTAGAGCTCACCCTGCATCTGGCTCTGTGTGTCCCTTTCAGCCAGATGAATAAGTTGAGTGTCTCTCCTGCTCCCTTTCTGAGACCCTTTTGGCCAACTGAAGGGCCCAGTGGCTTCAGATACTTGGTTGTTCATGTGACTATTCAGCATGTCAGAGTTCCACAGGGACTCAAATTATAGGGAACAAACAGAGTTTCATGTTACTTATTTTCATTTTGAGAAACAAATATAACTTCTCTGAGTGATACCACATAGATTTCTTGGAGCTACCATCCCAGCCTTCATTATTATATATTCTGTGCTTCTTTTTAAAAAAATTGTTGTGCTGAGTGGTGGCACATTGTGGTACTCAAAAAAGTTCTTACAATATAACAAATACATCATACTTGAATTCACTCCCTCCATCATTCTCCTTTATCCCCTTCCCTCCAATCCTGGAATAGTTTCAATAGATACCATTTTTCCATTTATATACTTGTATATACAGTATTTGCACTATATTCACCCTCCCACCCTCTTTCCCCACTCCTCCCACTCCCACTGATACCAGCCACCCCCCCTTCCCCTCCACCCAGGCAGGACCTGTTCAGTCCTCCTCCGATTTTGTAAAAAAAAAAAAAAGAAAAAAAATATCATTTTTTGTTTAAGATAAGAGGATAAGAGGTCTGGTAGAGATGAACCAGTGTGGGTTGTAATACACATGTGCATGGTAGCAACACTAGGAATCTCTCTGGATAGCTATCTTTATCTCAAGCTAGCAAAAACGCTGTGTTTTTCTTATTATCTTTTATGTTTTCTCTTCAACAAAATCGGAGAATAGAAGGTGGAACAGGTTCTGCCTGGACGTGGTGAGGTGGGGGGAGGAGGCCCAAATAATGTAGATACATGTATGTAAATGTAAAAACGATAAAATAAAATTTAAAAAGACAGTTATGCATAGTTTCCTTGTGACATTTTCATGTATATAGGTATTATAACCCAAATTGGTTCATCCCCTCTATTTTTCTTCTTTCTACCTTAGTCCCCCTTCTTATGGTGAGTTCAATAGATTTAAAATCCTAAATGCATTCTTGTACAGAGAGCACAATAGGCATATTCACCTTCTGAACTTCCTTCTTTACCCTCACTTTCTTGTATGTGATCTCCCCTTAGTGTGACCCATGTTTCATAATATTGCTGTTTGAAGCCCCATCCTCTACTTTGTCCAGAGAACTATGTTATCATTTCTTCAGAACCCGGCTGGATAGAAATATGGACTCAGGAAAAATGTTGTGCTCTTGGTCCCGAGTATTCATGCAACCCTATGGAAAGTTTTTCTAACGTGATGTAATTAAACATGAAAAACATTTATTAACATCAAGACAGTAAGGCTTCCATTGGGATTTCTGTCCAGGCACTTGCCTCTGTATTTTATTGGGTCTTCTCTTTTCACTTCTCTGTTCACATCTCCTTCTGGTGTCACTTTTCCAGCCCACATGGTGTCAAACTGACCCAGCTTTGGGATTCTGGATCAGACACTTTCTGAAAAGATAGGAGATGTGATGGCTGGTTGTTAAAAACAATTATAGAAAAAAGTGGCGTGCCCCATGCTGGATAGTATATACACTGTGACATTTGGGTCTATGAGATGCAGTTTTAATATACAGCAGGCAGAACTGCAGTGACAATTATATAAAGCAGGTGACGCTGGTTCTTGCTGGTCAGCAAACATCAGCTCAGAACCACTTTACAGCTCTTTACCAGCAACTAAGTGCCTTTATTTACAGAGTACCTGTCACTTCCCTTTGGCTGGAGAGCTGGTGTATTATTTAGCACGCATTTATCTGGGGAAAACATTTCAATTTAAATCAGCTGGTACAACAGTGGCTCCTGCCAGACTGTTTCCCTGTGGTTCTAAAAGACCAGAAATGAGTCTGATCTTGGATGGAAGAGTGAGCAGAGGAAGGACCCATGTCAGAGAGCCACAGGGGTCAGTACCTGAAAAGAGAGAGCTTATGATGGAGTCTCTTATTCTTATATCAAAATGTAAAATGACCATCTTACAGCTTACTCCTGCCTCTTCCCAGTAAGGGTAACTCTT